CTACATCATCACAGCCATTATACTAGTACAGCTGGCACTCTGCTGAGATAAGGTTCCTGTAGCTTAGCCAAGTGCTTTCCCTCCTAAATCTGATGCTATGCTTCAGCTGAAATACTATCTGCCTCCAAGCATGTGTGGAAAGAGGTATATTTTGGTTTAAAAGTCAGTCACTTAAATGCACCAGAAAACTTGTCTTGCTCATTCCGTGATTCTGGAGGAGCCGCAGTCTGCCCATGCTGTGCCCCTTTGCCAGGATCTTCCTATCAGATCCTTCCCTGTATGGTGCCGTGTGTGAGACTTTTACCTTTTTGCACAAAAGTGACTTTATTTCCAAACCTGACTTTCTGAGCGGCAGCTGAGCTGAAAAGCATCAAGGTTGTGTAGGAAAGCGTGTTTTACACTTACTGCAGTTTTGTTCCCTGCAGTGGCAAAAGAAGGTTGAGATGGAAGCTCAAGACACTACTTTCTGACTGACGGCGTCTCGCTGCTAATCTGTATATTCCTGCACTTTGCTGTCATTTATTGTCATAAGGGCCTGTAGTGACAGGATAAGGGGTAACGGGTTTAAATTGAAAGTGGGGAGGTTTAGATTGGACATCAGGAAGAAATTCTTCATGGAGACGGTGGTGAGGCACTGGAACAGGTTGCCCAGAGAAGCTGTGGATGCCCCATCCCTGGGAGTGTTCAAGGCCAGGCTGGATGAGGCTTTGAGCAACCTGGTCTAGTGGAAGGTGTCCCTGCCCATGGCAGGGGGTTGGAACTAGAGGGTCTTTAAGGTCCCTTCCTACTTGGCCCCAGGAGGAAAGACTTAAAGGTGAAGCTATGATATCTGTTTGTTACGTAACTGGACGAGCCGTTGCCAAACACTTCAAACAAGGCCACTGTGAGAAATGTAAACCCACATCTCTACTGAAGGGAAGAAAGATGTTTGGTTACAAGCTGTCTGTTGTCCTACACGGGTAGAAAATATGACTATGCATCTATAGGAAGAAGCACTCCAAGGCCAGGCTGGAACCATTCATTATGCTGGGGCAATAGATGTTGGCCACAGCCCACTCCTCTCTCGGGGTGGATTAGAACTACTGGAAAGAAAAAAACCTTGAAGTTTCTACAGGAGAATGACTGTTTCTCAGAAAAACACAGGTGAACAGTTTTGAATTGGATCAATCTCATGATAAGCCAGCCTTTACTGCGGTTTGCAAGCTGGTTGTAGCCAGATCTGACCCAGAGTGCGCTAGGGCCAATGACTTGGAGCTAGGCCAGAGTTTGTATTTTTTTTCCCTCAAACAAAGATCAGTGTTGTGTACTGCACGCTGTAGATGACTTTTCCATTTTACAATATAGTATTCAATAAGTAATCTCCAACTTGCCAGTGAGGTAAAACTCCTCAGTTTCTAAGGTGTCTCTCAAAAAGATTGTTAAAACTCCTAAAGCCTGCACAGCTGCTGACCCAGGAGAATATGGCCCACAAGGTTTTCACTTGCAGTGAAACGGTCATACTGCTTGTTTTCAACTGTTATAGCCAACTGCTGCTATAAAACATCACGCTAGGCAACATGGGCAGGGCTGAAGGTTATTTACTGGAATGCAGACGCCGTTTGGAGCATCGAGGGTCATTGCAGGGGATGGGGACTTCAGCAGTTACGCAGCGTCTCAAACACTAGGACTCTGGAGGCCACTCCAGCCACCTGGCCTGGAGTCCTTCTGCATCCCAAAAGATCTGCCCATCGCGCATCTGTGTATGAACCCCTTTTGTGTTACCATGTCCTGGTTTTATAGACCTTTTTTCCCTAGGCAGGCTGTCATGCCAGGCTCTATAATGGCTGGTTGCTACTTAACGCAGATTTAAACCAGTTTTGGGAGTGCTGATTTCTGGTGTCTATCATCACACAAATTTTCCTGGGAACTTCCCTTAGGAATCACTCCAGCGCTGCTGCGCTACGAGATGCCTGGGACTCAGATGAGCTGGAGAGCCCCAGTGCCTGGGGAAGCAGCAGCCTCAGAAAGGCCCATACCCAGCAGTGCCCCAGTGTCTGCCCTGGATAAGGTGTCTGCATTCTTTTATCTAACTTTTACTCACTGGGGATTAAGAAGACTCTAGTTTCCAGGAACAAGCCCTGCTCAGGAAACACTTGCAGTGAGCTCTGCTTTGCATAAAAGCTGACTTCCCCATAGGTGTTAGAGGTGTGAATTTCTTATGAATTTATATTAGTTTTTGATTGATTTATATTCGGAGTGGGTCAGGTTTTGCTTTGAGGCTATAGAATGAATGCCTCCTTGCACTGCTTCGAGATGACCTTGTCTCTCTTTTTAGTTCTTTCAGCTATAAAGTAAATTCAGGAAACATTTTTTTTTTTTTGTTCAGAAATAAATTACTTTATTTTAAAATTGAGACACACTTGCTTTATACCAAAACAGATGCCAAAAGAGACTTGGTATTCATCTCTGATTTTAAGCAAAACTGTGACTTTCAGGGCTATATAACCATACTCAGTGATTTTAATGAATCTTTACAACTTCATGTCTCCCTGCCAGTACTCAAGATAGTTTTGCAGGCACTTCAGCGACCTTTCTGTCAATGGCCTCTCCCAACAGAATACAAGAAATTTCAGAGATTTTTAGAGGTTAAAAAAGGAGAGAAAGAAGGAAGAAGCAAAGATGGTGTCTTTACAGGGTCATGTTAAATACAGCCAGCTCTCAACCAATTTTCTGTCATGTGCATTTCTTCTCCCTGGTCTCCACGCCACATCCTTTTCCAAGAGCTCTCCTGTCAACACAGCACCTACTGCCCTCCTAAAGTTCCTCCATTGCCAACCTCCACTTTGCACTAAGACCTGTAAAATTTTCAGAGATACCTGAATATGAGTAGTCTTTAGTAAGAATAAGTAAGTCCTGATTTCACAGGAACACTGTTTTTTTGGGGCAAACGCTTCAATCCTTTTTCCTGTCTTCCTGCAGCATGTGGTGGCACATGGACCCACGTTTACAGTAGCCTTCTGGTATCTACTTATTTCTCTGCTGCTGTCTGCTCCTGCCAGCAGCAAGTGCGAGTGGCTAGGGACAGTCTTGGTCAGAAACGGGCACCGTCACCTCCCAGTTGAGCGAGTCCATGTGTGTATCTGTTCTGGTGAGCTTTGTGTTCAGGCTGCCCTGAGAATCTGTCACCTTTCCATTAAAAACAAAAACCACTTCTCCACTAAGATGCCAGGAACCAAGGACTGACTTAGATGATTTTCACACTCATTTTCATTAACAATTTGATTTCAATTAATTTTACTTTAAAAACAAGAAAAAATTGCTAACCTATAAAAATGAGTTCCAAAGTCAGAACAGCAAAAGCCTGAGGGTACACAGTATTGGTTTGGACCATAACCTAGTTAGAAATTATTTGAAGAGTATTACTTTGTTCAGGTTAGAATTTCAAATGATGCTGCAATCAGGGATCTGAGATTCCAGTATGGGTATCTCCCTGCTTAATACAGATCATACCCTTATCATGAGCCAGATTTGCTGCCCAAGAAATTGATGATAATTAAAAAATTTCAAAATAAATGCCAGTATTACTTGTTACCTTCTTAATCAAATATTTTCAGCTTGTAGTTTATGAGGAGGAGAATGGCACTTTCATTTTCCTTCCTCACCCACTGTGTTTTAAGGAAAGTTTTTCTCCATTTTTTCTTCATTTGTTTTACGTTTCCCTTTCAAAAAAGCAATACTTAATTTTAAATTGGAAATGCTGCATATTACTTCTAAGTATACTGGACCACGAGAATGTAAAAATAACATTCTAGGTAGAGGTAGCAGAAAAGTATGGAAACAAAAGCTGGTATCTCTGAAATAAGGTGGAATGGTGTTTGTGTCTGATCCTAACACAAAAATATTTTAACTGGTGAAGCTGCAAAAATATAGAGTGAGCTGTGGATACACAAGTTAAGTGTTAACACAAGTTAAATCCAATCTGATAATTGTCTAGGCATAAGAAAGTAAATTCTTTTTCTTGAAAACAAGAAAATGAAGTTTCTGTTTATTGTTCTTCAAATGCTGAGGGAAATTTATCCAAAAAATCTGCCATTCTAGTGTGACAAAACTGCTGACAAAACAAATCTTCTGCATGCTTTTGCATCCGCTACCCTGTGTTAGTTACCGAAGGCTCCCTGTCCAAAGCGCTGGAGAATGGGTCTTTGGAACTGAATCCACAGAAAACAGGATGCTCGTTTGCTTAAAGTAGCCGATAAGAAAGCACATACTCAGTTTGCGTCTTCAGTCTTGCCTCTCTCCTGGGCTGAGGCTGAACTTAGCAAAGCTGGTTCTATATAGTCAGGTGCTACGTCCTTCCTACTCTTGGAAGAATTTCCCAGAGAGGTGGAGAATGCGGGTTTGAATCCACTCAGCTGAGAAGGGAACTGTACTCAGGTACCTCCTCCTGCAGAAGAGCTCTGAGTCTTGAGGTGCTGAAGACTGAAGGTGGAAGAGGCATGTAGGAAACCCTACTGTCTGAGGGTGGTTAGGCACTTTCCGGAATATGAACCATGTGACAAAAGCTTTCAGGACTCTCAGTTGGCATTTAGCTGCCTACATCCCATTCAAGTCTGTTTTTGGGTATGGTGCACCTTTCTCTTTGGGCCCCTGTCTTTCTGTATCTCCAAGACCGGTCGCAGTGAGAGAATAAATTCCTCAGAGCCTGCAAAATACTGATCTATTGTGATATCCTGGGCTGTCCAAGGTAACAATGAAATATGGCTGAGGGTCTGGTTCATGTCTTGCCTGGGGCTTACAGTAGCAATAGCGTCACCTTAAACGGGGTTAGCTCTGTAAATGTTCTTGAAAACATAAAATGTAACTCGGATGAGTTATTACTAGCACAGTTCTCTTGAGGGCTTTGGGCAGTGGCATGGAAAAAGCCAACAGAACTTTGCAAAAGGTAGTGGCGATCAGAAGATTTAGAGAGAAGACTGCTCACCTGCTGCGGCTGGACTAGAGCAACGAGTGAAACACAAGTCTACACAGGAGTCTGTTTTAATCCATCATTCTATTTTATGAAGCATCACACAGCATTTTCACCAATCAGCATTTGATAGCAGTTTAAGTAAGTGCCACAGGGTTATTTAAGGAAAAAGCCGACAACCTATTTCATAGTCACTGACCCCTCATTTGGCAGCAGTGCTCTTGGAGGGCTTGGGTAGTACCCGGCAGTTGCTGAACTATTTGCGGAAAATCGTGTAAATCTATAATCCAGTGGTAAATCTGAAACACAGAAAACACATCTGATTAGCAACGCAGCCCGTATCAGATAAAAAATAAGCCGGCGGTGAATAGCAGTACCTCCTAAGCCTTTGAGCTGTTTGCTCACCAGCATTAGAACTCAATCAGATTGCATGATTACATATTTATTTGACATCCTCAGCTGTCCAAGGATTGACTTTCATCATTTACTCAACTGCAATACAGGATACTCAGTTCCCTGATTGCTGAAATAATGCTAGTCATAGAATATGATTTAACTAATGCTTAAAACACAAACCAAAAATCTTCATTAGGCCTAGATGGAATTTTATCACTGAACACTTTCAAGTTCATCCTTCAATTTGTCACCTTTCTCTTTTCTCTCAGCAATCATAGAATCTTTTAGGTTGGAAAAGACCTTTAAGATCATCAAGCCCAATCTACTCAGAAAAGGGCTATGTTTAAAACAAAGAAGTCCATTCCATTTTTTTTCTTTTCATGGCTATTACAGCAAGATTTCCCAAAGGCACCCACTCTTAGACCTTTCTGCAGTCCAGTGTCAACAACATCCTTTTGTACCAAGCATTCTTAGAAATCTGCACTTGGCTTACTCATCACTTCCAGTCTGTAAAGAACACTTGAATGCATTAAAACAGTTCTGAACAGTCAAAACTTTCTTTTCTGTAGCTTTTTAAAAAGTCTTTACTGCCAGCAGTGACCCGCCCACCCTAACCAACAGAAAACTGATACTTCCAATGCTCACCTCATATTCCAATTTCAAGAAACCAAATAAAAACCACAAATAAAACTTCGTTCAAGAAACAATTACCCTTCCAATAAATGGGAAAAAAAAGCCAACCCTACCCAACAACAAAGGTTAGCTCCTTCCCAAGCTGTCTGTTCAGACCCAAAGGAAAACATGAACTGTTACTCAGCTCATCTGAACAGCAAGTTATTAAATTTTTTTTTTTTTAATTTGGAATAAATTTGGGGTAATGATATCCTGTCACTATATGCTATGACAGTTTTTGGTGGTTTGTTTTGTTTTTTTTTTTTTCCCCCACTCAGCAGCTTCTGTGAAACAGAAAAACACCACCTTTGTGGTTTCGGCACAAACAACAGGAAGTTCAGGTCTATCTCACAGGCGATTCACAGGCAGACACCAGGACAGCATCCAGGTCCACAGCTTTAAAACCATATTAAACATAACTAAAGCAAACAAATTAGTATTTAGATCCAGCTGAAAGATCAGATGGAGGCTGGAATAAAGTAGGAATGGGAGGAGACATGATTGGAAGTGAATTACACATTATGAAGTGGGTTACTTTAGCTTGTCGAAGAAGTGTATTTTCTCATTTTGTCTGAGTCGGGAATCTCTGGAGCCTGTTCTGAGCACGGTACAAGCAGCAGATGTTTTTCTAGTCTGCGGAGAGCCCAGTGGATTTACTGGCTGCTGAGTCTATTTATGACAGCTTTGTATAAAACAAAGGTTTTCAAAATAACAAATAATAATAAAAAAGAAAGCAAATATTTCTGAGTATTTTTATGAGCTATAAAAACTAAAAGCCATAGTTACTTTTATACAAAAGCTTTCACTAGCTTTTTAGTCTAGCAGCCTGGAGTGTCCCAAGAGCAGTTTAACCAAAGAGCAGCACAAATAGGGCAGACTTGCTGCAGAGTTGCTTATGCTGAAGAAAAAAACAGTTGGATCAAAATGGTAAATTTTTTGGTATTTCCTGGTAAACAATCAGCTTAAACACTAAACTGAAGCCATTCTATATACAGTGCACAAGACTCCAAAAGAGAATAATGTCTTTTTTACACATTCAAACCATAATCTATACCTTTAAATATTGTTATTGTCTGAGCAAGCTGACTTTGGAAGATGACCAGAATATATCCACATGCAAAAATATTGCCCAAGGCATCGCTGAGAGTTGCATAAAGCAGACACTATTCTTCACCCATTATGCAGATTTTATGTATCACAAGCAAACCTTCCTCTATTTCCAGTTTTTTTTTCATCAATGATTTCATTTCCTGCATCTGCTTTGCCTGGAATACATTCATTTTATATTATTGCTTTATTTGTGTGATTTATTTATGAGAAAGCTTTGGACTGATCCGTAAAGGCACACTTCGTATCTTAGTGACTATGGATAGACACAC